AATAAATAGAAATGGAATCCAAGATACAGATGGAGGGACCGATTACATGGAGTCATGGATATTTGTCTTGTAGCAGAATAAGAATTATATGGGATAGGTGCAGGTAGGTTGATTAAATTATTGCAGGTTTTGTCCAGATGCTCACTGTACACATACATACTATACACATACATGCAATACGAGGGAATATGAACAGGAAATGATCTCTGCCCTTAGGAGCTAGCAATCAAGTGAATACCCATCAAAATTCTTTATAGAGGATCTTATTGTACACTATCTTTGGAGATAATATTTTAAGTAGGAATTTTGATGATTTTTCTAATTTTTAATATTCACGAAGTTTTTTTTTTTTGACTCTGCAATTTGATGGTGCAGCGACTTAGATAATAGTTTGCTTCATTGCACTTACCCTCCTTGTAGTCATATGTTTTCAAGCTGCTGGAATAGACTGATACTGCCTGTCATTTTTTCTGACACCATTTAAATCATAGCAATGCTTTAATAGTTTCCTAAAATAATGCTATCATTAATTCACTTCCTAAACAAGTGAGTTCTATTTTAAGTTTATTGAATTCAAAGGATATTGAATATTTGTATGTGAATAAATGAGAGTTATGTCTTCTTTTGTGAGACTCAGTGGTCTATTTTAACTCAGATAAGAACACATCAAAGAAAATATCCTGGGGTTGTGGTCAATAGCATGATCTTGATGCCAGGTTGAGCCCAAAGTGTCCGAACTTGGCAAATTCCTTAGTCACTGCTTAACTTTCATCAGCAAATAAGAATAACCTCTCCCTCTCTCATGGAGGTTATATTGAGTGAATAAGTAAAATATTTGTAAAGCCACAAATTCAGTTCATGTCTGGCATATTCTGTGGTAAACATCTAATTTTTATTCTTATAATTGTTATTCTCCCTAGTACTACTAGAAAATATGAGTACATATCACCTTTCATGGAAGCTTCAACTTTAATATAGGACTTCACTTCAATCCACAAACAACTATATGTAGATAGTATATTGCAGAAAGGGAGGGAGTGAGGAGAAATGAAATACAAGAAATCTGAAGATCACACAAATAGTAAGTGGTAGAGCATACAGGAAATTAAAATCCTGGAAGTATGGCTCTAAAGCCCAAGCTTATAGACTCCATAATCATATTAATCATGAATGAGAAATACTGCTTGTCGTTTGCACTATTAAAACGGAAGTATTTCAACTTTTATTTGGTCTTTATACAGCTCACACTAAAGATAATGGAAGCAATGAGTAATTTGTTATTGCTTTATTCTAACTGAATAGTTCCCATTTCTGGGGTAAGAAGTGATATTTCTGCATCCTGGGTACTCCAAAATTCACTAGGAAGCAATGATGGAACTAATGGCTCAAATACTAACAAAATTACTCCAAATATCATTAAAATACATAATTTAGTAATTATAAAGGATATAGAGACTAGATTCCATATCTAGAGAGAATCTTTTTAAAAAAAAAAAGAATCTAATGAGATGGCATTGGTACATGCCACCTTCATGGGATTGTATTGGGATCCCTGGCATGATTCTAACTCCACCATTTGGGGCAAGTCCGATTGAGCATGTCCCAATCTGTAAATCTCCTCCCTCTCTTATTCCCACTCTTATATTTAACAAGGATCACTTTTCAGTTAAAATTTAAACACCTAAGAATAATTGTGTGTTAATTACAGAGTTCAACCAATAGTACTAGAACAAAACAAAGAAAAAATACTAAAATGGATAAAGTATTACATTGTACATCAACAGTTAGGACAAGAGCTGATCAAGTCACTGTTTCTCATAGTGTCCATTTCACTTCAACAGGTTTCCCCTTTGCTGCTCAGTTAGTTGTCGCTGATCAGGGAGAACATATGATATTTGTCCCTTTGGGATGGGCTTAATTCACTCAGCATAATGTTTTCCAGGTTCCTCCATCTTGTTGCAAATGACTGGATTTTGTTGCTTTTGACTGCTGTATAGTATTCGATAGAGTACATGCCCCATAATTTCTTTATCCAGTCTACTGTTGATGGGCATTTGGGTTGGTTCCAGGTCTTAGCTATTGTGAATGGAGCTGCAATAAACATTAATGTGCAGACAGCTTGTTTGTTTGCCAATTTCATTTCCTTTGGGTAAATTCCAAGGAGTGGTATGGCTGGGTTGAATGGTAGGGTTATATCCCATCAAGGTGGCATGTACCAATGCCATCTCATTAGTCCAAGTGATCAATTTCAGTTCACAATTGATCACACTGACAGGACTAGAGTCAAAGGGATCACACAAACAAGACTAGTGTCTGCTAATACTAACTGAGAGAATCAAAAAGGGAGAGAACGATCCATCATGGGAAGTGGGATACACAGCAGACTCATAGAATGGCAGATGTCCTAAACAGCACTCTGGCTTCAGAATCAGCCCTTAAGGCATGCGGATCCGGCTGAAAAGCCCATGAGAGTATTTTAGGCATGGAAAGCCAAGACACCTGGAAAAAAAAAAAAAAAAAGAAGACCTAAATGAAAGATCTCTGTGAGTGAGATCCCAGTGGAAAGACTGGGGCCATCAAAGAAGGAGGTAACTTTCTCTGAAGGGAGGAGAGAACTTCCACTTTGACTATGACCCTGTTGGAATAAGATTGAAGTTGGCGAACTCAAAAGGCTTCCATAGCCTTGGCAACTCATGACTAGAGCCTAGGGAAATTACTGACGCCATAAACAAGAGTGTCAAATTGTTAAGTCAACAACAGAAGTCACTGTGTACTTATTTCTAATGTGGGATCTGTCCTTAGTGTGTTGTCCAATGTGAAGTAATGCTATAACTAGTACTGAAACAGTATATTACACTTTGTGTTTCTGTGTGGGTGCAAACTGATGAAAGCTTTACTTAATATATACTAAATCAATCTTTTGTATATAAAGATAATTGAAAATGAATCTTGATGTGAATGGAATGGGAGAGGGAGCAGGAGATGAGAGAGATGTGAGTGGGAGGGAAATTATTGGGGGGAAGCCATTGTAATCCATTAACTGTACTTTGTAAATTTATATTTACTAAATAAAAATAAATTAAAAAAAGAATCATTTATTTATTTGCAAGTCAGAGTTACAAACAGAGAGGAGAGGCAGAGAAAGAAAGAGAGGTCTTCCATCCGCTGGTTCACTCCCCAATGGCTGCAATGGCCGGAGCTGCGCCAATGTGAAGCAAGGAGCCAGGAGCTTCTTCCGGGTCTCCCAAACAGGTGTAGGGGCCCAAGGACTTGGGCCATCTTCTACTGCTTTCCCAGGCCATAGCAGAGAGCTGGGTTGGAAGCGGAGCTGCCAGGACTTGAACCTGTGCCCATATGGGATGCTAGCACTGCAGGTGGCATCTTTACCTGCTAAGCCACCATGGCGGCCCTGAGAATCTTTGATCATCCATGTGAAGGGATGAGACCTCAACAGCTTACATTAGTCTCACTTCATTGGCATCTCATTCATTCTTGTAGCCAAGAAAGAAACAATACCTCAAGCATTCTATATGACATTATTTTACATAGATTACATGTTTCAATGTATTGTCATATATTCACAGTAATCACAAGTTGGAATTTATCAATAGGAGTAATCTTTATTCTCATATGAGTATTTTCTTTATGTTTAAGTTATGCTAACTGTCTCATTAGTATGGTTTACATAAATACTTTTGCTCAAATGAACCTGAATAAATGTACCACAGTGGTATCATGTGACTGAAAATGCTGCATAGTACTGAGGCATAGAATTGGATATTAATATCAACTCAAATTAGAGACATGCTCTTTTGTTTTCCAGACCAGTGCCCTGGAAATTATCCTTCATATTTTCAACAATGTATTCATTCAAATTCAAAATTCCCTTTGAATTTCCTGAAAAGGTGCTAATATATTGACTATTTAATAGTGTACTACTATGTTATAGTAGTAGTTATAGTTACTACTTATAGTAGTTATAGTTACTACTTATGTAGTAACTTTCTATCTTTATGTGTTTCTTTAAAATTCAACTCTTACTATTATCTATTTCTGTCTATGTATCCGATACGATAATATAGAAAACATATTTAAAATCCTTTTAATAATATTGCAACCAATCAAGAATAAAAATACTTATGTGTATCAGAATAAATTCTTCTGCAAGTAACATGAAATCAAAATTGGATGAAATTCTAGGGAACTGGGGCCAGCGCTGGGACGTAGCTGGTAAAGCTGCCGCCTGCAGTGTCAGCATCCCATATGGGCAGTGGTTCAAGTCCCACTGCTTCACTTCTGATCCAGCTCTCTGCCATGGCCTAGGAAAACAGTAGAAGGCGGCCCAAGTCCTTGGGCCCCTGCACCTGCTTCAGAGACCCGGAAGAAGCTCCTGGCTCCTGACTTCGGATCAGTGCAGCTACAACCATTGTGGCCAATTTGGGAGTGATCCCGTGGATGGAAGACCTCTCTCTCTCTCTCTCTCTCCCTCTCTCTCCCTCTCCTCTTTCTGTGTAACTGTGACTTTCAAATAAATAAATAAATCTTTAAAAAATATTCTAGGGAAATGTATTGACTTATTTAAATAAAGGACTAAGAGGAAAGTCATATTCAGGATTTACTAACTTAAGTTTTTTTGTTTTGTTTTGTTTTTGTTTTTGTTTTTGTTTTTGTTTTTTGACAGGCAGAGTGGACAGTGAGAGAGAGAGACAGAGAGAAAGGTCTTCCTTTTGCCGTTAGTTCACCCTCCAATGGCCGCCACAGTCGGCGCGTTGGCGCACGCTGATCCGATGGCAGGAGCCAGGTACTTATCCCGGTCTCCCACTGGGTGCAGGGCCCAAGCACTTGGGCCATCCTCCACTGCACTCCCTGGCCACAGCAGAGAGCTGGCCTGGAAGAGGGGCAACTGGGACAGAATCCGGCACCCCGACCGGGACTAGAATCTGGTGTGCCGCGCCGCAAGGCGGAGGATTAGCCAAGTAAGCCGCAGTGCCAGCCTAGGATTTACTAATTTAAATACTGCTTGTGCTATGTGTGCCATGTCTGTAGGCTTTTTCTAATTGTATCCTTTCTTGTGTGGCTTTATCTGGAGATGATTGTTACAAAGCTGACTCTTATAATCCGCCCTTCACACACTTACCCAAAAATGTTCCCAGAAAGAGAGAACCTGTCTTCTGTCTTTGTAAGCTGATGGTAACTTGCCGTGCAACTCTTTGGCATGAATGGAATAGACTGTTCACTCTTGAGTCATGCCTGTGGCTAGAGGAAAGGTATGCACTGGTTGGCTTGGCTCTGGCATGCTGTGTCAATCATCGTATCAAGAAGGATGGGAGTTACTCTTTGAACTGTAGATCAGAGATGGACATCTGAAATCCAAAGAGAGAACTATTTTGCAATAGGAAAAGGCAAGAATAGATGCAGGAAAGACAGTAAACACAACAATGTCTATTTTATGTTTATAATGGGTGTCTTTAGGGGGCTTTCAATAAAGTAACCAACATGAGTCTTATTTTTTTAATGAACTGGTTACATGTATAGTGGAAAATTTGGAGAAACGGAATTTCTCAGCCTAGTGATGGATAACATGGTGCAATAGACTTTGAGGTCACAGAATCATGAAAATTCTGTATAGTTTGAAGCCATGCATGCATTAAAATGTGATAATAGCATACTGCTTGAAAATTCTCTTCACACAAATTCTGAATTATCACATAGCTTTTTATTGTAAAAAAGATTTTTATACTTGATAGTGGTATCTCAAATTCTACAAATCATGCAATATTTTATTATCATTTAAAGTGCTCCAAAATTAGAATAAATATTTAGCAATGAATGTGTTATATGTATAATTACACATGAACTATAAATTATGTTATTTATTAGAGCTATTTGGATAATGGTTTCTTAATTTCTCAATAGGAGTATTGATGCATTTATTAATTAATCAATTTCAATTATAAGGGATCTTCAGAAAGATCATGGAAAATCTGTATTATAAAAATCCTGGGGTGAACATTTGGCACAGCAGCTACCGCATAGCATGGGATGCCCACATCCCATATCAGAATGCCTGCCTTTGGCTCCTGACTTCAGTCTCCTGCTAATGCAGACATGGGAGGCAGAAGGTGATGGTTCCGGTGACTTGGTTCTTGCCATTCACATAAGGGACCTTGACTGCATTCCTGGCTGCTAGCTTCAGCATTGACTCAACCTTGGCTTTTCATAAATTTGGGGAGTGACAGCAGATGGGAGATCTCTCTCTCGCTCACTATCTGTTTCTCTGTTTGTCTTTCAAATAAATGAAATAAGTAAAAAAAATTAATAAAAATACAGGCATGGATTTCAAAAAATTTTTAACAATTTATTGTTCAATGCAATTTCCTCATGAATTTTTTGAAATATTCCAATTTAATACAGTCTTTGAATTAAATTTAGCTATAACTGCAAAATAATTCTAATGATCATCTCTTAGTATTATAATGACATATATTTTCGTGTCCTTTGACTATGTTGTTTGACATATAATAAAGCTACATCCTTCAAGGTGGATATGAAGTCTAACACTTCAAAGTTAGAAAGGCCATTTTCTTTTTATTCTATCTTTATTTTTGTATTTTATTTATTTGAGAGACAACCAGGCTGAGAGAGACAGACGGTCAGAAAGCTCCCATCTATGACAACTCTTCAATTGCCTGTAACATCTGAGATGGGGCCAGGCTGAATCCTGATCCACATGAGTTGTAAGCACCCAAAGACTTGAGCCGCTGCCAGCTTCCTGTAAATTAGCAGGTAGCTGGAATGGAAAACAGAGTGGGACTCAAACCCTTGCATTCCGATATGGGATTTAGACACCCCAACACAGTGGCTTAACTGCTAGACCAAATGCTCACCCCAGAAGTATACTTTCATCTGTTGAGGTATCAACTCAGCTTTCCATATTGTTTCTTTTCCTTTTAAGATTTATTGATTTAATTGAAAGAGTTACAGAGAGAAGTAGAGACAGAGAGAGAGGTCTTCCATCTGCTGATTCACTCCCTAGATGGTCACAAAGGCCAGAGCTGAGCTGATCCAAAACTGGTTGCCAGGAGCTTAATCCAGTTCTCCCACGTGAGTGCAGGGGCCCAGGGACTCCAGCAATCCTCCATTGCTTTCCCAGGTGCATTAGCAAGGAGCTAGATCCAAAGTGGAGCAACCGAGGGTACCCATATTGGATACCAGTGCTACAGGCCAGAGCTTTAACCTGCTGTGTCACAGCACTGGCCTCTCTTTGTAGTTGGTGTCTTGAAACCCAGATAAAAGAAGTGCCAATTAAGTTTTTTTATGGTTTTTTATGTTATTTTTATTTTGCCAATCAACAAAATTCATAAAAATTATTAAATATTGAAATCAAATTAGGACAAAAGAATGATCTAAAATAGAATTTGGGAATTGTTAATTCTACTCATGGAACTTTTATAATATGAGCAAGTTCTTGACCAGCAGGTAGAATCTCTTGTAGAAGAGTTTTTCCGTTCATGTAATATTTAAAGATCACATTTCAGACTATTTGTATCAGTTTAACAAGAGGACAAATTGGGTTCACCTATTTTATGTGGGTAAGGTCAGACTTAATCTTCTAATCTTCTCGACATATAAGAAGAGTGCATTACTTTAATTGTAGGAGAATTGTGCAACTGTTCAAGGCAATTTTTAATTCAAATCTCTGTGATTTACCAGTGGGCAGAGGAAGCCGATTCAGTTGGATCAGATCACTACTTTTGCCATGTTTTATTACACATTTCTTCTGCTTTTTTCTGATATTCTCCCCAAGATGTAAAGATGAGCTAGAAATGCCACATTTACCCAGCAGCTAGCAGCACATAAAAATCTCTTCCAAGAATGCAGTTCAATTTCACAAACAGGTGTTGGAGCTGTGAAGATGAAAGACAGGGTTCTCCACTAACGTCTGAGCCAGGCAAGCATACCACACTTTATATATGAGATTGGCAAACAGAGCTCAAGGCTGGTTTCCCTTAATGCAGATAATGATGATATCCATTTGGTTAGGATAATAAGTCATACCCTTTTTCAATTGGTCTAAGAAAGCAAAAGACTACTGGAAATGACTTTATTGTCACTTAAGGGAAGATCAAACCATCTCACATCATCTTCCTGCTAGTTTTAAACAGACAGGTCCAATACACTGAAATCCCATAGCTCAGACAGAGTAGTCATCCTTGAAATAGCTGGAGAACAATGAGTAATAAATATTTACTCTCTTGAACACTGCAAAACAAAGATGCCACACTGGCTCCGTTAAAACTAAATAGGTTAGTGCCTCACACAACCAGCATGCACAAGCTGGGCACTGACAATCAGCCATGAAGCTGGGGCTGCCAGTGGCACTTCCAGAAACTCAGCAAGAGATTGATTAAAGCAAGCTTTCTACCATCTGTGGTCACGTTATGCTTGGGATAGTTCATATATCTGCAAGGGCAGCAGTAAATATGCCAACAGAGGCAACAGGTTTCCTTGAAGCAGGAAAGAAAGTGGAGTCAATCAAACTAAAGCGATAGCTTAAATCTAATAGCACAGGATTCATGGAAAAGAGCTGACTTTGGCATTCTGTGTGAAAAGACCATCCAGGGTGGATATATTATGCTAGAAAGATAATTCTTACTTGAAAATTTATGATTAAATTTTTAATTTGTTCTAATATTTGTCCAATTAAATCAGTTATAGGCATTTTGGCGGAAAATCAACCTTTACATTAGGGAGCAATATTTTTAAAGGGTTTGGCTGGAAATGGTTATGCTTTATTTGGATGAGAGGAAGAAATGGAGAAGGGAAAGATGGAGGATAAGATAAAGAGTAGGACGTAAAGTGACGTTTCCCCAAAAACACAAATATTGCAATTCATCAAGCAGTCTCTCAGTCCTGTAAAATCCTTTTGTTGAATCTGGTTTGTTGTTCATTCATTTGATCACACATTCATTCATCAACTGTGCATTGTGTGCTTACTTTGCACACAGTGTCAGTGATGAAGCCCTTGGAGACAAGCATTCCTAAATTCCAGGAGTATATTTTAGGTATACTAACATTTAAGTAATATATACAGATAACTATATAACTTGAAAATGTTTCATATTCTGTGATTCACAATAGTTTAACAAAAAAAAAAAAAAAACTAATGCCACAAAAGAGCATATGAGAGTTCTTTAGAAAGTTCATGGAAAATGGAATAAAAGATGTTTATTTTTATGGAAAAATTTGGGAATTTATGCCTTCAGAAGGTGTTCAGGAAGTTCATGGAAGGGCTGGCATTGTCAAAAAGCAGGTAAAGCTACTACCTGTGCTGCAGGCATCCCATATGGGTGCTGGTTCATATCCTGGCTGCTCTACTTCCTATCCTGCTTATTGCCTGGGAAAATGGTCCAACTACTTGGGCCCCAGCCACCAACAAGGAAGACCCAGATGAAACTCCTGGCTCTTGGCTTCAGCCTGGCCCGGAGCAGGCCAGTCAATGAATCAGCTGATGGATGATCTCCCTCTTTCTCTCTGTTTCTTCCTCTCTCTGTAACTTTGACTTTCAAGTAAGTAAATTAATTTTTAAAAAGTTCATGTAAAATATTTCAAAATTTTTACTACAAAACTAAGTATATCTTTTAATTCCATTTTGCATATTTTTGTATCTTTGTACAACCATTCTACCAAGTAACATTCTTTCTCTTTGAAAAAAATTATTCTACATCTCTTTGCTCTGCAAATGCCCTTTTCCTCCTCACTTTCAAACAATAACCTTATAGTTTATATGAACAGTAGAAATCATTCAAAAATATGCCTAATATCGTCTCATGACCAATTCTACAAACTTACCCTCATCTTTCAGGAACTTCGCCTTTCCTTTTTTTTATCCTAGGAGACAGGGGAGAGGGACAGGAGCAAAGTGGTTACTGTCTCTTGGTCAAGGTCAACCGTTCCACATATATTGCCTTCTCCACCATTTGCCTCTTTGATAATTTCTCTTCATCATGCAACATTAAGCTCTCTTTCTCTCTATTGTATGCCCTCTATATACCAGAAATCACTGCTACCTATGTTTCACATCATTTTACACACATAAGGCTACAATTACTAAGTCACACTGGGAAAACTAAGGAGACTTGCAAGGACTAGAGCAAGTGGTCTCCTTGTCTTGGGCCATCCAGAATGCTACAGGTACAGCCAGACCTGAGCTTTCATTTCTGGAGCTTTATATAATAAGATAGAATGTCTTTGGCCTTATAATAAAAGCAATTAAATTTAAAAAAAAACACCCTTTATCCTGTATGCTCATCATGACCCGTTTTGATCCCCTTCATATAAAAATTATCATAATTTTAAATTCAGGACTTTTCCTGTCACTTTCTTATTTCTTATTTACCCTAAAAGCACTTCAATCAATTTGCCTTCCGACTTCTCTGAAATCGTCTTTGCAGAATCAACTGTGATCTTTGCATGAACAAATCCTGCACATGCCCCTCTGCCCTCTGTCTCACACTTAAAAGCTTCCTTCTGTGATCTGCCCTCTCTCTTGACTCTCATGACATAGAATTTCCTCTTTCCCATGACTTCCTGAGCATATTTTTCCGCAGTCTTCTTTGCTGTCTCTTGTGCCTCTGACTTGAGAACTTGGTTATGTCACCTCTTCTTTTCCCTCTTTCTTCTTTTTCCTCATCCAATCACATGGTTTTCATCACCACACACATATATATTAATAAAACAAAATGTAAAACCTCCATCTTATCTTTGCATCTTGCTGCTTGTGTTTGGATGTTTTAACTTAATGAGTCCAAACTTAAATTCATCCCTTTCTTCCTCAGTCTTCCTTATATGAATGCAAATCTTACAAAACAATCAGTAAAAAAAAAATCAACCAAATTTTGTTTCCTCACTTCCCCAAACCACTCCATCAATGAGTCTCAGCAATTCAATCTTTCTCAACAGTGTAGAATCCATTCTGCTGTCACTGAAGCTCAAACACTGCTCTCTCTCCCCCAAGTCACTGGGATAAAGCTCTTGATGCTTCTTTTTAACTCCCACCTTTACTCTCCAAACTGTTCTCCAAAGACCAAAATGATCTACCTAAAACATGTTAAATTATTTCCTAAAGCATTTCAAAGTACATAAAACAACATCTGTGCTCTTTTCTGGATCATAATGCCCTGAATAGCACTGCCTTGGCCTCTGTCTGTAAAACCTTTTTGATCTACTTGCCTCTCACTGTGGCTTTCTTTCAGCCACTCGTTTCTCCTATACAACATGAATGCTTTTTCAACAGAGATCCTTTGCCTGAAAAAGTCAGCTCATCATTTTTCTGCAACTACCTTTTGTATATCTTTTAGCTCTGATCCTAATTGTTTCTAATCCTTGTTTGTTGTTGAAAATCTGAAGTGGGTTTTTCTGTCATTCCCTCTTTTCATGTTACTTAGAGTAAATTTTATTATACTGTAACTGCTTTCCTATCAATTGTCACTGTCATTAGAAGGTAAACTCTATAAGGCTAGACATTATTTTTATTCTGTTCATAAAACTATGGCAGAAATCTATGTCACACAATACAGGCTCAGTGAATACTCATTGAATGTGGGTTCCATTTCAATACAGAAGACTGAAAATGTTAACTTTTTTTTCTTCCTCAATACTGTATTTAAAAATATGGAAAGCATTAAAAGAAAGAGAACAAAAGCATAGTCTATCACTAGAAACATTTTTCAACAAATATCTGAAAAGCCTAAAGGAAATAATTAATAGAGATTGATTAGATAAAATAGAAGTCACAGTTGAGAATGTACAGTCATGTGGCTGCAATTGGGGACGTAGGCAGCATAACCAGCATGTTCAGCCAAGTGAAAGGCAGAAAAAGGCTATGAAGCTGAAAGTAGAGACAGTAATTACAGAACGATATACAGAACAGTTGATTTATCCCAAACTTACCTCTGTACCCTATGTAGATAGAGAAGGGCTTTGGACCTGACACTGAAGTCTAGATAAAGGAAATCAGAGCTTTATGCTCTACATAAATCATAAAATCTATCTGTTGGGGCAGTTGTTTAGCCCAGCAGTTAAGACATCGCTTGGAATGCTTGTGTTCCATATTACAGTTCTGAGTTCAAGTACTGGATCTTCTGTTTCTGTCTTCCTGCTAATTTGAGCACTGGGAAGGAACAGCCCATGGCCCAAGTACTCGATTCTCTGGGTCTCACATAGGAAACCTGGATTAAGTTCCAGCCTCCTGGCTTCTTTGATCTGGCCTGACTCCAGCTCTTTGGGGCATTTTGAGAGTGATTCAACAGAAGAAAGATTCATCTTTCTCTCTCTCTCTCTCTCTCTCTCTCTCTATCTCCTTGCATTTCAAATTACAAAAGAAAGACTATCTGCAAGTTAAAGCTGATATGGTGAATTTTATCACACCACATTAAACTTTCATTATTTTTGGCATTTTAGGGGTCTTCCAGGATAATGGCTATGACCTCACCCTTTCACCTTAAAACAAACCAATTGGTTATATCTACCTCAGCACAGAGTAAGAGTGTTTATTCTCTTAGTCGAAAAAATAACCAAACACTCCCCAAAATGTAACATGAAAGAGGGAACATAGAGAAGAATGTTCCAGGGGAATCTAAAATTATATCAGTAATATTAACAAGCAACACTTGCATTACTATTCTTAGATTTAATTGGTGTTATCAGACACAACAGAAAGTTCTAAGAAACCTAAAGACTATAAAAAAGTTAAGTTTGAGTGACTTCTCCAAATACATAGTGAAAAGAAGACAGATAGCTGAGAAATCTGATTTTAAAAGGAAATAGAAGATATTTAAATTAATATAGGATTTCCTATATTTGACTATTTGAATATCAGAGCCTGAATAACAGAGGAATAGAAATTATCAAGTATATGATGAGAGATGGCTGCTTCAGTGAATGGTGTTGAAAAAACTGGTTATCCACATAAAGAATAATGAAATCAGACCCCTATTTCAAATTCTATATAAGAACAAACTCAAAATGAATTAAAGACTTAACTATGAGACTGAAACTGAGAAGCTACTAGAAGGAAACATAGGGTAAACACTACATGACATTGGTTTGAGTAATAATTTTTTAGTGGTGACCCTAAAAATGCAGACAACAAAAATAAAAATACACAAATATGATTATAATAAACTAGAAAGCTTCTGTACACAAAGGAAACAATTAAGAAAGTAAGTAAATATTTTCAAGCCAAAGATCTAATTAATAAGGGATGAATATCCAAAGTATTTTGAAAATTCAATTAACTCCATAGGAAGAAAACAGATAATGTGACTAAAATGGACCTGAATAGAGACTTCTCAAAAGAAGACATGCAAATGTCTATGTCTAATAAATTTATGAAAATGCTCAACATCACTAATCCTCAGGGAAATGCAAATTAAATTTACAATGAGATACCACTTCAAAACTGTTAGAATGCCTATTGATAAAAAAGATGAAAGAGCCAATGCTAGTGAGATGTGGAAAAATGAAACACTTGTACACTATTAATGAGAATGTAACTTACTACAACCATTATGCAAGACAGCACCGAGGTTCCTCAGAATAATAAAAGTAGGGACGGACATTCGACATGGCAGGTTAAGCCATCACTTGTGTCATCTGCTCCCCGTATCAGAGTACTTGGGACTGAGTCCTCCATCTGCTCAAGACTCAGCTTCTTGCCAAAGCTTACCCTTGGAAACAGCAGGTAATGTGGTTCTGGGCTCAGTCCTGACCCATGTCCTGCTGTTGCGAGAACTTGGGAGTAACTAATTCAAGCAAGATTTCTCTCTGTCTCTTTTGCTCTGCCTTTCAAACAAATAAATAAACTTTATAAAATTAGAAGTAGAACTACCATACTTATGCAAGGACCCACTTACTATTATTTACCCAACAGATTTGAAGCTGATATGTTGAAGAGATGTCCTCACTCCCATGTTCATAGCAGCATTATTCACAATAGTTGCTAGGAAGTCAACCTTAATGTCCACCAGCAGGAAAAAAAATTAATATGTGGCTTATATATACTGTACAATACTACGCAGTCTGTAAAAAGAAGAAAATTGTGTCATTTGTGACAACATAGGTAAAATTGGAAAGCAATATGCTAAGTGAAAAAGCCAGAGTCAGAGAAACCAATAATGCATGTAAGATGGTGGTTACCAGAAGCTGGAAGCTGGGGAGATGGGGGTCTATAAAAACTCAGACAGGAGGAATATTTTCTTTTCCTTTGAAATATATTGCAGCATATGGTGAATATGATAAATAAAATTGTATTCTATATTTTAAAATTACTAGGAGTGAATTTCAAATATCTTCACCTTTCCAATTTAAAAGTATTTGTTAAATACCAATTAATATACATGATATCCATAAATAATAATTGCCAGATTTTACTTCCTTAATATATATAATTGTAATCACCAGCTTAAAATTTAAAAATGAAAATTAAAAGTTTTAACACCATTATATTATCAGAATTGTACCTATGAACTACATTGAATCTGTACTCTTTGTGTTGTTATACATTAATATGGAAAAATTAAAAGAAATGAGCAGAGACAAGGAAACCAAAGTTTGTCACAGATGGGGCCCTGATAGTTCTGAATAAAGAGAAGAGATTCAGATTCAGACCTGTATTTCTTATGGAAAATGCTAGGGTTTTCAGTATTTGAAAAGTTATGGTCTGTTGTAGATTGAAAAGAAATTCTAATAAAATATTCAGTGATAAGGAAGTGAATGACAAAAACTTGTTAGGTATGCAAAAACACTGTGAGGACAAAAACAAATCCTCAGAATAACAGGGGAAAATTCAATCTAAATTGTTTTACCCAGCCAAAAATGTCATCAAATATAGGGACAAAACAGACATTTCCCTGGTTCATGAAAGTTACCTCCCATAAACTCTATTTTAGGAATTTATGAAATTAATAATGTGGCAAAAAAAAGCAGATTAGTG